CAATAAATTTGGAAATTTCAAAAATTGACTGGGATACTGAATTTAAATCTAGGTCTCTTGTAGCAGCGACTGAGTACTTTTATAATGTCTTCTCTAGGTTGCGGGAGGATTACATTCCTCACAAATTGATCAAAGCTAATCACTATCCGCAATGGTACAGTCCTGCTTTGATAAAAGTGATCAATGAAAAACATAAATATTTAAAAAAATATAAAACTTACGGGAATCGTGCGGATGAGAAATCCTTCAAATTGTTAAGAGGTCGCTGTAAGGTCCTAGAAAAAAAATGTTATCGAAATTATATTAATTCCGTTGAAAGTTCGCTAAAGAATAACCCCAAAATATTCTGGCCGTACATTATGTCCAAATGTAATAATAATGAAATACCGTGCAGTCTTAAACATGAAAATACTATATATAATACAGGTTCATCAATATGTAATGCATTTTCTAAATATTTCCATTCAAATTTTTTAAACGTCCCCGCTTCTTCAATTGATTCATTTAACGAGTGCTATTTCACATCAACGGTTACTAATATAAGCAACATCATTGTTAACGTCGATGAAGTAACCAAACTTTTTCTAAAATTGGATCCCTCAAAGTCAACCGGACCTGATCTTTTACCTGCTCGCTTCATAAAAAAGGCTCCAGATCAGATATAGCTAATTACCGGCCAATCTCAAAGCTTTGTATTATTTCCAAAGTTTTCGAAAAAATTGTCTATGAGCAGCTTTATTCAGCGCTACAGCATTCTTTCAGTTTCACGCAACATGGATTCCTAAAGGGTCGGTCGGTTGTATCAAATCTTGTATTATTGAATGAATATCTCACTGTAGCCATGGATAGTGGTAAACAAGTTGATGTCATTTACACAGACTACAGCAAGGCATTTGACCGGATCCAGCCCAATTTACTTCTGCTCAAGTTGCGAAACATTGGCGTCAATGGCGATTTGTTGAGATGGTTGACCTCATACATAAAAAACCGTTCTCAAGCAGTTGTTATAAAAACTATATCTCTGGATGGTTGGCGGTCCCTAGTAGCGTTCCTCAAGGGTCGTTGCTTGGTCCTCTTCTGTTTGTAGTCTTTGTAAATGACATCGAGCAGTGTTTTAAGTTCTCTAAGCTTCTATGTTTCGCAGACGACATGAAAATCGTTGCACCAGTCTCCTCTTTAGCCGATGCAGCTTTTCTTCAGGGCGACTTACTGAGGCTCGATAATTACTGTATCGATAATTATTTGGATCTCAATCCATCTAAGTGCAATGTCGTCACATATAGCCGTAAGAAAGAATTGGTCCACTTTGACTACACGGTAAAAAACACAAAGTTAAGTCGGGAAACTGTTGTCAGGGACCTAGGAGTGCTCCATGATAATAAGCTCATTTTTGAAAGGCATGTTGATAACATCATTTCTAAGGCCTCAAAAGCCCTTGGATTTGTGATGCGTAATTCTGGGGATTTCACTAAAGCAAAGACACTGAAAATATTGTATTGTACATTTGTCCGTAGTCATCTTGAGTATGCATCCCAAATCTGGAATCCTAGATACGATACATATGTATAATGCGCATTGAGTCTATACAGAGGAGATTTTTGAGATATCTCTGTTTTCGCACTAAGGATCATTATGACTCGAGACGCTATTTGGATCTTTGCAAAAAACATCATCTGCTCCCATTGGAAAGGCGCCGTGAGATTGCAGACGTTGTATATTTATTAAAAATTGCATCTGGTGTAATTAGTGTCCTGAATTAGTTTCTAAAATTTTTCTTAGAACTCCAACAAAGCCCCTCAGATTCAATTCTCTTTTATATATCCCTCCCGTTTCTACCAATTATAGACAAAATGCATATCTTTGGCGAGCTCTTAACAATTTCAATGACCTATCAAGGCAGGCTAACTTAGATCTCATCGACACTAGCGAGGTTTCGGCAAGGGGTATTTTAAGCAGTATGTTCTTCAACGATTTGTGAGTACCATGTTATACCTATATATCATTAACTACCGATTTTGTTATAGCTGGGTACTAGGTGTATGTGCGTGCGTGATAATTAATGGCTATTGTAATACATATTAAGAGTAGTATGTTACTAATGGTGGGGACTTTTAATTGGCTTTTTGTCTTTATTATAGTTTTATAAGATTTTTCCTTATCTTAGATACTTGTAGTATTTGAAATACAGATACAAGATACAAAATACGTATTTTCATCTTGTATCTAAAATACTTTTTTTAGGAAGTATTTTGTATCTTGTATTTAAATACTTTTGTTTAGTATCTTAGTATCTTTTAAATACTTTTTCTGATAAAATACTTCATAAAAAGGTTATTTCTTACATTTTATAAATATCACAAAACATTCTTTGCCTAAAACATACATATTTACAAAAAGAAAATGTCAACTATCAACGCAATGAATATTTAGTTAAAAATAACTCGAATCCAAACATTGTTTGGTGTCATTTAAAAAGTAAATGCGTAGAACTGAACGTACGGTTATACCGGTGTAATACACCCTCCCTAGTAAAAATTGATAGATGGCGCATAGGGCTTGAAATCGAATAACCAGTTACAAGCAATAAAAAATCTTGATTTATGTAAAAACCCGGTTATATGCTATAAATAAAACTCAGTATATCAATTAAACTCATTATTAAATTTTATTATTTTTTTGCACATTATACTTTTTCCACTAACAACAGCATTCAAAAAGTTTATTTTTAAAGAAATTTCACTGTGAAATTCGATACAGTTCGGAAACGAGTGCTGTCATTGCATATATTGAAAATAATTACCCACTGCTTTTCAACTAATTCGTCATAAAAATAAATTTGTTAATAGAAAAAATTCTTCAAATAATTTCTTTACTCCTTTATTTTTCAAAAATACAACACAATCTGTGATGTAATCGTATAGTAGATTTTGCTTTAATAAGTAACCATTTAATTCAAGGGATCTTTATTGAGAAACAACAAAAAAATGGGCGGAGTCCTGTCTTAATATTAGGTCTTTACCTATGTAATTGCCGTTCTGCTGTACTAGCCATTTAAAATCAAACTATTTTTTTTGGCTGATAATTCTAATATCAAATTATTTTTTCTAAAATCGTCATTTGTTCAATAGTAAGTGTTTTGTTTTCAATGCATTTGAATATTTTTCGTCGTCATGGATAAGTTAAAAATTGGAGTAATTATGGAGTACGTGTGCCATCGTGGCAGCAAAGCGGCACGCAACATTACAACGTTTGCAGAGCGAACACTACAAACGAACGCACCACCCGTTATTGGTTTACGAAAAGGTTGCTGTTTGGTGGTCTAACGCGGATGTATTTCATCACAGCTTCTTACCAAACAGGACGAGCATTACTGCAGATTTACTGTGTGTATTGTGAAGAACTGAACACAATGACGGAGAAGCTGGCACAACTCCAACCAGGTTTTGTCAATCGTTCGGTTCCACTGCTCCTGCACGACCACGTACGACCTCATACTACACAATTGGCGGTACCCAAGCTACAAGAGCTGGGGTTTGAAGTTCTCCGTCAACCGTCGTTCTTAACAGACCATGCGCCTACAGACTTCTAATTCTTCCAGAATTTGGATAACGTCTTAGCGGGAAAAAAATAAATTCCCAAGAGGCAGTACAAAATGCCTTTGAAGTATTTGTTGCCTCCCGTCCAGCTGATTTCTTTAAGAGTTGTTGTTATATTTCAGCAATTTTTCATTCACAATGCTATATTGAAAAAAAATATTATTAAAAAGGAACTAAAAAATTTAAAATAATTTAAACCTGATGTATTAAATATTTGCATTTTTATATGTTACATTGTGATTGACAAACAAATAAAACGGAGGAAAAGTGGGTGAAATTTAGATTTGAGTACAAACACAGAAAACTAAATAAAAGCTTACAAAAATTGTTTCTAATGAAAAATGCTTAAAAAATCCACTTTGTCCCTGGAACCATCTGGTCTAAGATTTAGGTTTTTGTGGTCTTTAATAAACAAACTTAAATTCAAATCTTTTTTTAGAAAAGTATTTGTATTTATCGAAAGTATTTATAAGATACCTATTTTGTATCTAGTATTTCAAATACTTTTCTCGAAAGTATTTTGTATCTGGTATCTGAAATACTTAATTTAAAAGTATTTTGTATCTTGTATTCCAGATACTTTGTACAGGGTATTTTGTAAGGGTAAAAACGGAACCCTATAACTAAGGTTCAGCTGTTCATCTATATCTATGAACCGTGATAGATAAACAGTTGCTTACGATAGCTGATGGAAAACTGGTTACGTCATGTGTTTAGAGCATTAGAGAATTAAACCTCTAAGGATGGCGTCATCTTTTATAATATTTGAACATCTAATATTATGACGAAAAAAGATTAAATAAGCATAAGCATGTTTGTATTAAATACGCCCCGAAACCATGGACTGATTTTAAAATCTTTTCATATAATGAAGCTACCAGATAAGCGGATGACATAGGCTATAATAAAAGCGGGCAAAATTGCGGGAAAACAGCTAGTTAAAAATAAAATTTGTGTTTTGAATTAGGATAAATAAATTGTCAATTTCTGGTTATTTAATGTGCTGCTGTAACAAATAAATTGTCGTAGTTATTAATTATATCTAATTAAATTTAAAAATTATGACTCTTCCTAGAAGCAACTTTTTTTGTCTTCCCACATCTTGTTGCGTTTTTAAACGCTTATGAAACTTTTTGGGAGGTAGCCAAATTGGTTATAAGAATAACGTATTTTATTTCCTATAGTGAAAAGGCTGGTTTAAAATTGCTATGTTGTACATACAGCATCACGTCAGGTTACCATTATAATTGATCACTGTTGACTATGAACACTACCTTCCCCATCAAAGCCTTAACATCAAAGGGATTTTGACAGTTTCAATGATCTGACGTGCTGTTGACTATGTTTCAGCTTAAATTATTTTTCTAAATGAAAAACACGTGCGTTTTATATATTTTTTTATTTACTTAAATAGTTTTATTTCAATATTACAATAAATAACTAACAAAGAAGTAAGGCAAAGATCGTTTAATGGGGATTAGCCCTAATGTTACAGGAACTCCTCGACTTCATTAAATTAAATAAATAAAAGAACCTAACAAAATTTCACTAACAAACTTTAACATAATGACTAGATTATATTAATCATTTTTCTCCGAGAATCGTACAAAAAATTGTGTTAATTAAATAATTGGAAGATGTCTTGCTTTTATATCATGTATCACAACTAATAAACGCACGAAAAGAAAATATAAATCACATATTTATAAACTCATTCACATCGCGTCGCTCACCGGAAAATAGGAACAAGCAGAATATTAAGCAAAACATAATAATAACAATAGAAATGCGATGAAACAAAATAAAAGAAAGAAAATATTTTGATGCCCAATTGAATAAGAAATGCATACTGTGCCCAAAATGATATTGTCCAATTCTTTTTTCCTTTTTTTTATTAAAAAGCGTGTTGTGTTAATGGTGCGCAATTTTCGTTCGTTCGCAGGGGGTATCAACTCTTGGGCATTCCTTGTGGCGTGGATGTTTCGACCATTTTCTTGTATTTTCCGACCAGCTCGGGCAGGTCGTAAGCGATGGCTACATCGAGCCGGGTGATCGGGCAACCCCTGAAGTACGTGCAGGTGGCAGACAGCTGTTGGAACTCGTACACTGGGTTGAGACGGAAGAAGTCGCGATATGTCTCTGGATCAGGCAAATCATATCTGCCGGCAAGATACAACATCACTTAAATAGAGTTATACTTTTAAGCATCAAGTTTAGACAACGGCGGAGCAGTTAGATAAATAATAGGAAAAATACCTAAAATATAAGGAAAAACGATTTAATGGGAAAATTTCGAGAGTATGATCACAGTTATGAATGAATTCTTCTAAATCTTTATCTAAGTGAGACTCAATCTAGCGACAAATTATTTAAATCAAATATTTAGCTGTATAAAGAGTTTGGCTTATGATAATATTTTTAATTGGTCCTTAGCAATCGACAATGTTTTTTAACATAATCATTGGTTCCACATTATTCATCTAAAGGGGGTCCCCCATTGTTAGAGTAGGTATTATGCACATTGTTGGTGATGAAGAATGCAGAAACAATATATTTCTACATCCACATTGATGTGCTTCCAGTTTCTCGTTAAACGGCAACTTTCGCGAGATATTCTTTTCCAACGATATAGCATTTCAGACCCCAAGTTAATCAAGTTTGATTTTATTTTACAGATATTCTTGGTCTCCCAAAATTAATTTATAACTCAATCAATTATATTTAAACACAAGAAGACAATAAAAAAAAAAACGAAATCTAGAAACCTTCAATCAAATTTCTGAGAAGTAAGGTAAACTTAATTCAAAGTGTTTAAATCAAATTGTAAAATTTGACTTGTACAAACATGTGAACCACTTATTTACATCTAATACATATATTACCTTGAAATATTCGTGAGCGTGCTCAGTCCTTCATATATGTGATAGTTCTGAGGGTTTTCGATGATGGCGTCCGCGATGAGTTTCTTGTTTCCGAAAATAGTCTTGTGATTGTAATAAGTGGTCAGATAGCAATCAACCATTTTGGCATGATTTCTGACACGCACCTGAAGGGAAAGATACAATTTAATAATAATATTCTGTTATATATCTTCACATCACATCTTATACATATATCTTAAACATTAGGCTAGACAGAGAGACCCGAAGCACGGTCTATATATGTTTTTTGATCGTTTACAAATTAAAACTCTTTTCACTCACTGAATTTTATGACTCCTGGAATCACATTGTGATAACACGAGATTAATTAATTTAATATTAATAATAATAATAATAATAATAATCTTTATTTTATTTTCTTCTACATTTCGAGCAACAAATGTGTACAACATAAAAATACAGCAAGTTTATGTAGAAGACAGGAGTCCAAACTAGGACTATTAATAAAAGATAAATAATGTAAAAACTATTATTTAAAAGACCTTGAATGTGTTAGTCAAATATAAATTCCTCTATCTTCAAAAGCTAACAGATCGCTACTTTATAGTCGCGAAATGTGATAGATTATTATTGATAGTATTATTAAATACTAAAATAAATAAATTCAAAACACTGAATCTCTTTTTATCAAATTGATACGGTATTTTCAAGTTTTGCCAGATGCTCTAGTCACCTAAGTCACACCACTGATGACTTAACTGTTTAGCGTGACGCCGTGTACAAAACATTGCCACATGTACAACTACATGTTGCAATGTTTTGTGTACAACTACATGTTGCAATGCAAGAACTTAACGAAGTTTCTAATAACGATGATGTTTACGATAAGTAACTTACCGCAAATCTCCGTGCGCTGGCGATCTTGTTCTCTATGCGCCTGTCGATGGCTTGCCGCAGGTCCTTCAGCAGCTCGCGCTCCTGAGCCTGCAGCAGCCGCTGCGGCGCTCCGGGCTCGTACGGCATCGACCACAGCGACACCGTGTACATAACCGGCGGCTGCGCTGAACTCATCAACGGCGATATGTTCCAGATGAGAGCGCTCTGGACGCGCATCAGCTCTTCAGGTTTCACCGTGTCCGCTTTGTTGAGCACGATACGAGTCTAAATGAATAAGTCAGTATCATTACAGTAAGATATAACTGATATTGCTCACCGATGTCGTCCGTCTATCATTTAATAAATAACCAACAGCAAATCTCCGCCAAATAAAGTTTGAAGTTGGTTCTATTTTTCGGAAATAAAAAATATTTATTATTGACTCGAATCGTAAATTTTTCGTTTAATAAAATGAACACTAATCACGAGAAGATAACTCGGGAGCTAAATTTTACCTTTTAGACTGATTAACACAATGCTTCGTAAATGACCAAATGGTGTGCTCATAGTGCCAATGGGTTTTTTCACTATTGCAAAACTTAATGTGTTTTTTGGCTATTATGTTTAGGTACCTGTGATTCTCTGCCCTTGAGTTGGTCAAGAATAGCTTCTGTTTCTGGTCCGACGTCCAGCTTGGAGGGATCGTACACGAGGAAAATGATGTCGGCTCGGTCGATGAACCATTGACAGGCGTCATTGAATGGGAACACTCGTGACACTTGTTTCCTCACTTCAAGAATGCCAGGTATTTCAACAATGTTCACCTAGAAAACGGAATATTGGATTAACAGCAAATGTATCATTATCTCCTTACGTATTGAATTTTCTACATTAACTAGTCGTTGGAAATCAGTAAGACTTATAAGCTTTTCTATATTGTCTTGAGTTCAGGTGTTGTAGTACCTTCGTTTTTTAGATCACTGAATTCTTCAGACTCAAATTCATTTCAAGCATAGTATTGACTCAAATCAGACACGTATCAGTAATAATTATTTCTCCATACAATCTTTATGAACGTACACAAGTCAGTGTCAGTGACATATCAGTGCTCTCAATGTCAGTAGCAAAAATGATACGTCATTGCTATGTGTAATTCAAGCTCTGAGGTTTCTATTATATGATGTTAGATCATCGTAATCAAATGATTAACTTCATTTTTCTAGTAAAGTTATACTTTAACAAAAAAATCTATCGGAAGCTACCTACTTTTTCTAATATCTTGCTAGGGTATTTAAGACCTCGAAGTCGCTCTTCTAGGCCTTGCCCGAACTTTTGCAGTCCAGCAAATGTCCAATCAGCAGCTAGCTGAGTTCCGTCCAATACTTCGGGATCTTTGCCGTGCATAAGAATATTGAAATACGCCGGTGAAGGCTCAGCGCCTAAAATCGAAAAAAAATATTTTATATTTACAATTTACAGAATAACTATTCTATTCCATCCATAAGGCAGGCCTTTTTTTTCTTCCGAAACGAAGAATCCGGGAAGCCCTGAACCCCAGCAGTGGGGAAATTATTAGGCTAGAGATGAATACTGTACACTACTACAAGTGAAAAACTAACAATGATACAGATATGAATCGCTATGCAAATTCATTTCGATTCCACATAGTACTGCCTTTTTTCCTAGACGTGATAAGTAGCTGGACCCCCATCTCGTACAATAATCATTGACTACGTGTAAACGATACATAGGTACACGGATACCAATACGTATCGTTTTCTCTCAACGAATGTTTTCACCGGCGCTAGAAGCAGATTATACATTAAAGGTGTTCTTTGGAGTATTTTCATGAACTGTGACGTTACTGACTCGAGCATTACTTACATGAGAGAGAGAGGCGAATCATGTTCATATTACATTAGCATTAGGTATATTGGCGAAAAAAGAGAACCGAGCATACAGTGCACAACTTGATACAACTTGTTACATTTGAAATGATACATTTCATAGTCACGAAGAAGCAACTTAAATTGAAAGCCGGTAAAACATAGCTTTTATATTTCTTTCATTTCATAATATTGACTATATTACTGTAATGGTATCACTAACCAGTTCTCAGAGACCACTCGGTAAATTCCAGCCCTGTCAAATAGTTCAAAATAGATGATTTTCCTCCACTCCAAGGTCCCATAAATAGAACTAAAGGCTTTGAAAATATTTCCGGGTCTCCGAAATGTCTGTTGCTCAAATCCCTGTATTTGTATAGTACTTCTAAGGGCTTGATTGAGTTTTCGTATAGCCTCTTCAGTTCTCTGAGAACAATGTCAGCTGATCTCTCGATTATCTGTTCGGCTTCATTCTCTTCCTCATCAAGCCTCAAGATTTTAGTGATGTGATCGCGGGATCTTAAGTTTTCAGGGATATCTCCAGTCTGAAATAGAAGTGTTTAATCAATTTAACAAATTAGAGCAAAAATCCAAAGATATTATTTTTAATGCTTGTACTTTTGAATCTGATATTGGCATCAAACAGTTTTGGTGTGCTCTCAAATATAAACAATTTAACAATATATTAACAATTCAATACATAAAGGTATTTTAATTCGAGTTTACTTTAGCGTAACGTTGTCATGTAATCTATACTCTCGTACACTATACCATAATGATTTATTTATACGGGACCACATGTGAAATAAGGACGATTCCTTTAAGTTCACTTCACTAGTCGGTTATTGACTTATTAACTAATAAAATGAGTCATAATACGTTTACCTCAATTATCTTAATGGTAATAAAAAATAAATTTAGTTTATTTTGTTTCAACAGAAATGCTACCATTCACACTCTAAAGTTATATCGGTTAATTAATTTAGTGTGCTAGTTTCTGGATATATTAGTCACAAAAGAGTAAAAAGTTATGTGTGAATAACTCAGCCTGGTAAACCAAACTGAATCGTTAATTGTGATTTGTAATCATGTGTAAATCAATGTGCAATTGATTAGAATTAGCCGACATTTATACAAATATCACCACCATACAATTTATATTATAGCAGTAAACTAGAATTGTGTTATTTTTGATTATATTTGACGTTATATATTATTAAAGATATATTTTTAAAAGTTACCTTCAGTAAGTCTTCTTCAGGCGTGCCTTCTTCTTCGGACTCATCTTCATTTGTGTCGTCAGCATCTTTCTCTTCCACACTATCTTCAGTGGTATCAGTGTCGTCTTGTCCGTCAGCATTTTCTGAACTATCTGGGTCAGTAGTTTCAGATTCTACCTTTTCATGTGTATCTTCTTCTGATTTACCGTCATTATCGTCTTCTTTACCTTCTTCGGAACCGTCATCAGCTTCTTCTTTGGATTTATCATCGTCATCCTCTTTACTGTCTTCTTTAGGCTTGGCAGCTTCTTCTACTGATTCTCCATCTTTGTCATCAGATTGGTTATCTTCTGCAGATTCTTTATTGTCTTCTTGAGAATCATCTTTTGCTTCTTGAGATTCTTGTTTTGATTCTTTGGAATCATCATCTGCTGCATCGTTTTCGTTTTGATCTTCAGCCTTTTCTTGAGATCCATCATCATCATCGTTTTCTTGTGTCTTATCATCATCTTTATCCTCTACAGACACATCGGGAGTTTCGTCGGATTTATCATCAGCTTCATTACTATTATCACCATCATCGTCATTTTCACTTCCTTTCTCTTCTTTGCTGTCGTCATTATCATCATCATCCTTTGCATCTGCACTGTCATTTGCCTCATCTTCTTTGGTTTCATTTTTGTCCTCGCTACTATCTGTAAAATATATAATTACATGTTTGTAATATAAATCGATGCACGCTGATCTATATATTTTTTTGTATTCAGTCTTCTGAGTGCTATTTTATTTAGCGAAAGAATGGTCAAAGATTTTTCATGTATATTATACGTTTAAGACATAACATCGGAATTTGAATTTATCATGTTTTGGTTAGCTTTATACTCGAGAACATAACTTTATACCTTTCAGAATGTTGAATATTGAAAAATACACTATTTTTATGTCAAATAAATATACCTTGTTCAGCTGGGTCTTCAGCGGATGCATTTTCTTTGCTGTCTCCGTTATCGTCTTGGTCGTTTCCTTGTTGTTGTTCTGTACTCTCGTCATCCTTAACTTCCATTGACTCGTCTTCTTTTGATTTGTCGTCACCTTCAGTTTGTAAATCTTCGACTGATGCTTGAGGTACATAAGGTTCGTCTGCTACTTCTACAGATGGCCCGTCATCTTCTTTACTGTCTTTTCCATCACTTAAGTCTTCATCTGATTTTGCTTCCGTCGTATCGTCATCTACACTTACTTCACTACTGTCGTTTTTTTCCGTGGAATCTGAAAAAACGTAAACAAACTTTATATTATGTAAAGAACAAAATATAAACTGATACCTCAGATACCCATGTCCAATTCTTATCTTTATTATAATTTAAAATGTGTGTCTCTAGTTTTCCTAATGCTACAAAATAATTATCAATTTAAAAATTTTACGTTTGTTTAAATAATGCCCGGTTTCTGAGGGCTTCAGTTAAGTTCTCAATAGTTATCGCTCCATTAAAGCTATGGAGAAGATAAACTTCGTTTAACTGTCACTGCGTTTCTGAACACGCAACAAGCTACTCAATAACTATGTAACCAATAAATAGTTCCTAAATTTACCACTAGATGGAACTCTTCAAGGAAGCGACCTAAATTTGACTTCTTTTATTTTATTTTTCACTTAGTACATGTTTAATTTACGATAATAGTTTTTTTTTAAGTTAAATGAGTTATTAAATACTATTTTATCGTAAAAATATGAAAATAAGTTATTTATCAGTGTCTGTATGTAATGCCGAAGGACGAAAATGTACATCCTTAAAAAAATAAGATACATGAAAATGTATATCCTTATAAAAAAGAGGCAGGCATTAGGTCGAGAGATAATATTTCTCACCCATCCCATGACCGACCTTCGCGAAAGTTGCTTAACAACAATAATCGCGGGCAGCGGCGCTTATCCACTACGCCACCGAGCTACTCTCCATTGCTAGGTTTGAGAGAATACTGAGTAGCTTGCCATAAAACTTATTTACGGGGAATAATTTTCATAAGTCTTCCTTTTATAATACCTTAGATAAAAAATAACAAGATCATATTAAAGTTGGCTAAATTATATACTGGGTCTGTTTGTTTGTGTTTTTAAACTAAAGTAATAGACAAAGGATGAACTAAAAATAAGAACTCGAGTCAAATTGCTTTTTAGTTTCCCGGACTTAGTATAGAATATACTAGAAATAAACTCCATTACTCCATTACAATCCGACTCTGTCGAACTGCTTGTATTAATTATACTACTATTCATTGTTTTTTCGAGTTTAATTTAGCTATACCGCAACGTTAAAATTCACCACGTAATAATAACAACCTAAAAATTGCATGATGTGACCACGTCCAAAACGTCAAATAAAGTTATGGAACCGATAAACGGCATAAAATGGTCAGTTAAGTTAACCTTAGTTTAAACGGAGTTTAACTGACGCGGTGATGTTCAGAAACGCAATTCTAAGAGTTATTGAGTCAATAGCGCTATCGAATCGATAAACTGCCGTTAAAAGTACCTCAGAAACCGGGCATAAGTGAACTTGACATTATTTTCTCATTAAAAGTTTTTATTAGGTAATATAACTAATACAGTGTTAACGAATGCAATAGTTTATGCATTACATGAAGACCCATTTTTAAACGAGTTCAAAAAAGGAGGAGGTCCTTAATTCGACTGTATATATATTTGTGTGTTTGTTACGCGATCACTCCACCAATTATTAATTTCAAAATTTTCGGCACGACAGGAAACCTCAGTCCAATTCAATGTTTCTTGAAAAATTTTAATGGTTTTAAGATAAGTTATTAAATTATTCACTTTCTTTAAACTCAAAGTTGGTTCTAATTTTTGAAAAACGTTTTTCATGTGTAAACTTTGTACGAGTTTTAGAATACTAAAGAGTATCATTCTTCAGATGTGCATTTATGGGTGTCTATAAAAATATATCAGAGAGAAATATAAAGAGTTGGTCCCGTCTTGATATCTGTAGTTTTAATATCCATCAATGCGCTCTACAGGCCAATAGTATCTATATAGTATCTCAACTACTTTTTTTTATAAGTGGAATGTCTTACACAAATATCAATGGTGACAGAAAAATGAAAGTATATGAGATACTATTGAGATGCTATTATTACGTAAACATTAGCAAAGTTGGCTTGCTGGTCTAGTATGGTGGGCAATAGTCTCAGGTAAGGCCTGTTCCGCAGCAGTGTAAACATTAATAACCTCGTAAATAGGTCATTATAAATGAACCTCGTTAGATGTTTCCATTGTTTTTAAGGTATCCGATTAACCTCTAAAGCTGACCTACTATTATGTGACATCAAATAAATCATCCTCTATTCTTATTTTTATGCATGTGTGATTAATCATAGAACACATGTTACTTTACCAATCTAAAAATAAGCGGGAAGTGTGGTGACGCCTCCTTGCCGGTATCAAATTAGAATCAACATCGGATTAGAATCGTTAGGAACCTGAAATGTTGTCAATACTGTTTAATTCTATCCATTGAGGTCAATTTTTACGATCTGTTTGTAACAGTGTACTCGTAATGTTCCCAGTTTTACGGTTCTGCGAAATAAAACGAGAATTTTATACATTTTCTTGCATTCAACTTTTTTTTGACGCTAGGAAATGCATTACGCATACCCGCTTCCCCCAACGCGGGGTCCACGTGTTATGTAGGATTTTCTACTGCGGGTCCACCCCAGATCGGGGGTCTCATACCTAGCGATGGCCCTCTCGACGTGGGCGACGCACGGTGACGGTCCCGGAATATGGGACCACTTCCTACGAAGTTCGCGCCCGTTTCGGCCTTCCCCTTGCAGGCCGTGTCCCACCACGGGTTGAGGGCAGGGCACAGGAATATTCACTTTGATAGTGGGGCCGTCGGGGCCGGGCTGCCGCATACACTGCCGCATTCTATCAGAGAGTGACTAAGGAACGGAATACCGGTGACTGGTTTGGCTCACGCTGGGCTGGACATTGGTATCCGGGGCTATCGGGGTGAGGGATTCCCGAGGGTTCAGCCCAGGTGAATTCCCTCTCGTAGACGGGTTAGGGTGGGAGATGCTCAGTTGCGCATCTCTTGCCTTTGACGGGGGGCAGTCTGGCGGGTTAGCATGCTCGCTGGGCAATGCACGCCCCTTGTCCTGTCAGGGGGGATGGACTCGAATTTTCCTGAGCCCTTCCCCTAACCCGAGACGGGACCTGCCCTGTTAAAGGGGCGAGTCGTGCGTGGGTGCCCATGCCGTGCCCTACTTGCGCGTGAGGGACATCGCTGAGTATTAGTGGGTATGCCCCTACTTTTTGACCAGCACCCCCATAGGGGTTGGTCCGCAGGGGACAGTCCCACATAACCCGTGGAGTACGCGCAGAGTGTGCGTTACGCATTTCTCAGCGTCAAAAAAAAGATCACAGGAATATTGGAGTTCCGCCCCCTAGACAGGATGAGGCGTGTGCAATGTCCGATGAGCATTCCAAGCTATAGGTAAGGGTCAGTCAGTGCTTCCAGATCCCAAAAGTAAAGTTAGAATGTTGTCAGCTAAAAATACAGTAGTTTCTTTATATAGTGGATATCAAAATCGGTTACAGGAAAACTTAATTTAAATAATAAAGCAAAAACTACGCTAGTTTATTTATTCTTTGATAGTGTTTATGATCAGACAGTTCTATTTCGTTTTAATATCATTGATTTACTGAATACCCATACCGATTTATCTTTTTTGTCCTTGACAGATTAAAAACATCACGAACACCACAGTAATATTCTTTTTAAGTTTAAAGTACTTTGTAGTTAAAAAAAATTAAGTTTACGTCATTCAAAACAATACAAAATATTCATATAAATGTAATCAATTAGACGAAAAATACAAAATTTTCTTGTTACGTAGAGACTACGAGATTCGCTACTTGCAGTAAGGTACAGTGCGCTCCACCCTTTACAGATCACAGAAGATGCGCTCAAAATTGGGGGACACCCTGCACAGAAACCTCAAGCTTAGCGACCATTCGTTTTACGTGTTATATTTGACGAATTTAAGTAATTTCAAATAATATACAGCGTATTCATAAACTGTATTTTATCATGACAGTATAAAGCAGAAAAGTTTAAACTACAGTAAATCTACTGTAATTGGTGATTGAATCTGGAAGCATTGGGTTTCGGTGCATATCTGACGGTCCGTATTATCCGTCGCGAAACGCCAGAACTGACAAATATGTAAAACTTGGAATTGCTCGTATAATTTTGTTAAAATCATTTCTGAGAAGATTATCAGTCTATCAGACTTCCGAGGCAGCGTCAAGGCTTTCCTGTGTTCCATCATAAAATACTCGTATTGAAAAATGCGTTTCTTTGAAGTCGTATTTCCATTACGAAAATAGACGAAATTACTTTTTCGGAGAAATAGGCTTTTCATGAAATTAATTTATAATTTTTGTAAGTCTGTGACCTTAATTTAGTGTTCTGTAGCTATACCAAATAAAATAGATAGATAACTAGTTTGTTCAATAAATTGCGGCACACATATACGTAATATATTAAATAACTGCTGCCCACTAGGCATTTATATAAAAAAATATTGAGAATTAAAAGAAAGTTCAACTAATCGACTTAGTTATGTGTTGTTGATAAAGATAAGTATAATAATAAAAGTAAAAGATAGATAAGTAATAAGATTAAGATGTATTTGTTTAATTATATATGACGTCTATGTATATACACACATCAACATCGCCTAGGGATATTTTGTATAAAGTTCTATATTCAAAAAATACTGGGCGGTTTAAAAATCTTTTGATGAAAACTTATTTTGTAGGCATTTTTTGATGATTCCAAATTTAAATAAAAAAATATATATATATTTCAAACAAAAGATTTGCGCGGCATAATTCAAGTGAAGTTCGAAGTTTTCAATATACCTACCATACTTTTTAAAGATTTTTTGTGTTAATCGAAAGTTTTAAAACAAGTTAGCTTGTTTAATTTGAATTTGTGCTACTGTATGCATTATGCAGCGACGCCATTTAACAAGAGAGGAAATGTTTAGGGCAGTAGGCATGCTCCAAGCTGGGGCTACTTAACGGAGTATTGCTGAGGACATCGGAACAAAACAAAACGTGATATCACGGTTATGGTCCCGTTATCGTGCTACTGGTGAAGTGGCTGAAAGTTACCAAGGCGGGAAGCACATAACCACCCAACGACAAGACTGATTTTTACAAATTGCTGCGAAAAGGCAACCAAATGTTACGGCCAAGTAGTTGGTTCAAAGGCACCAGCTGCTTATGAGTGACCAAACTGTGAGGAAAAGACTGCATGATGCTAATCTTCATGCTCGCAGACCGCTTCGTACTCCTGTACTACGCCGAGGAACTCGTGGAAGCAGATTACGCGTGAACATTTGCTCTGAGAAGGTAACCAGTGGTCTGTAGTGCCGTTTACCGATGAGTCCCGATTCGATTTCCGTCCTGATTTGCGAGGGTACACGAATGGCGAACTCCTGGTCATGAGAGCCGCCTGCAACACCCTCAGGAAATCCATCCATACCATGGCGGTACGATTATGGTTTGGGTGGGAATTTGTGTTGGTGGAAGAACAGACCTCGTTTGGATCAGAAACTCCATGACCGCTGAAAAATACTTCAACCAAGTACTAGTACCAATAGTCTACCCACATCGACTACAAATGGGTTAAGAATTCACGTTCATGCATGACAATGCTCGTCCCCACACAGCTAGAATGGTCATCAACTGGCTGCAGGACCACGATGTATCGGTCTTAGACTGGCCCGCGCAATCACCAGACCTAAACCCCATAGAACACGCGTGGGACATGCTCCAAAGAAGGGCTTTGAGGAATTTACCTACAAACATTGTCACAAAACAAAAGACACCCAACCACACTTTGGTGCCTAAGAGTTATCCCCAAGGGCTGTCCCCACTCAAAGTGTATTAAACCACTTTTTGGCTTTTTCCTCAATCATTTCCACTGCACAGTAGTGCATAATTTCTACCGCATACAAAATTTGCCATACGCCTAATAGGGTCACTATTGAAAGCTACTAAGATTTATATAACTATACTTATTCTAACTATGGATATAGAACTCTTTATTCTAAAAAAAAGAATTACAAAAACATATAAAGCATTATTACACTGAAAACGTATTTTACCGATAAAAAGAGTGAAGAAGGCAAAAAAACTTAGAGCATATACATATTTCCAAAGATAATTAATACAACTATAAGCAATTAAACAGTAGATTTATACTAGAGTAAACAAAAGACTATGCCGTAAATTAAAATAGTACGCGGGAAGCCTTGGAAACTACCTCTTTTTCTAAAAAAAACTGTATTTCAGCTTAGTCTGTATTACGTAATCAATTATGCAATCTAATTGATCGCTTAGGGCACCATTTAATAACACAGACGTCTACGTTAATTTCGTATATTACTCATGAAAATAGTGATGCTTTTAAAAAACGATTTAGCTGCGTTTAATTTTGGACAAGGTTAGATTATTTAAAGAAATCCAACATCATAACTAACATTGTCTTAAAACGAATAGCTTCTTCTCTTGTTTACCTCTATTGAGTGAGCTTATAAATGAAATTAAGGTGGGATCGCTAATGGATAGTGATGGAGGTTTGTTGTAATGTTCTATGGGTATATAGCGATAAAGCTTTTAGGTTTGATTGAAACAAAAAGAGTATAATTATTTTAGTTTTTTCTATAACAGTTTGTGTTAAAAAATCTATTTAGCCCGTCAGCCAGATAATACAAAAAATATTAGATACGTATTTTTGTTTTCTTCAATTTAAAAAGAAATGGCATAGATAATAGGCATGAAAGTTGAGGAATAAGGGCTTGCTACGTCACTGCTATGTAAAAAATGTTTCGTTAAAAATTTTAAATACTTATTTAATAATTTTCAATAATCTACCAGACGGACTAACAAACAAAAATTAGTCATCATACCTATTGTCAGATATATCATGTACCAGATGTTTCACGTCATTTGTAATAAGTGAGTTACAGTAGAGTAAAAGTAGTTACAGTAAGTAGGAGACTGTATTTTAATATCATTTTTTATCTATAGAGGTGCTTACGCTATTGTAACAATACTAGATACACCTTTACAGCTCATACTGGCTACTGGTAAGCCCATTTTGTCTATGATTGCGGAGGCTAAACTTTCGATATGGCGACATTGAACGGGTGACCAAAAATTTATAAAAATAAGCTCCTCCGTGCTCCTTAAAGCACGTTAAACCCGCTAATCGCGGTTATATCTGCAGTTGTTTTAGCTGGATATAAATATAGAAGACTGTTCCTGAATTGATCGTAAAAAAATCAAAATCATCATCATCATCGTCAGCCCTTTTACATTCCCACTGCAGCGGCTCAGGCTTTCCTTAAGGGTGATTAAGAAAGATGGGCCGTTACCTTCATGCTGGCCCAATGCGGATTGGAAACCGACGGGACCAGCGGGATCAACGGCTTAATATGCCGTCCGAAATATGAAGTTGTTCGAGATAATAGTTTTTTGGTCCCCCATTCTTTGCCTTATTTGTATGCCTTGCGAAAGTTGCTTAGAGACAAAGATCGCGAGTCACGGTGCTTATTTACTAATCAAAAATATTGCCCTTGGCGATTAAGGCTATAATACAGTAAACATTTCTATCAATTCTTCCTGTAAAAAGAATATATTTTACGAAAAGAAATAGAAAAAGGTATTGAATTTTTGGGGTAACGTAGTGTTTTATTTCTGTAGAGATAATTTTATAAATTCATTTTTTAATTTTCATCACTCCCTTTAGTATATAATGTTGTTTCCCTGCTTTTAATTACACGTTTTTTTATATATACGTTCTTTTTTGGTACAAATTCAGTAGAAATATATGTAGTTATCAACCCACCGATCCACATTGGGCCTGCGTAGTGAATTCTGATCCATTCTCCCTTTGTCATTTTACCCGTAAGGCCTATTCCCCAATAGATGGATTGACATGCTGGTCGCTGGTCTTTCCCCAATAGGTAGAAGAGACATTTACATGCTGGGGATAACGACCTTTAAAAACTAAAATCAGTATAATTACAAACCTGGTTCCACGTCCCCCGATTCGAGCTCTTTCAGAGCTTTTTCGATGTATGGACGGCATTGTGACTCCGAAGGTACCTCGTCATCGGCTGAAACAAACAACAACACTGGTAAAGTGAAGCGTCGCTTTCACTACTCTTGTTTAAAAAGTCCGACATTATAACATAAGTAGCTGTTTTACCGCGACTCCGTACGTAATTTTAGCTTATAGCAACCGTGTAAGATGGAGCTACCCGTAGGTGAAAGTATTTTCATGATCCTATCAGTATTTCCGAAGATTACCTTTAAAACAAACAAAGCTAGAAACTTTACCTCTATAATATTAATATAGATAAAACAAGACTAAAATAGTACATTCTTTATTTTTAAAACCAACGAGCTAGAGCTAAAGAAAAACTCATGAATTAGACTTGTTAGTATAATTGTTAATTCAAGTATTTGTATTTCCTGTGGTAGCGGAAATACATCACGTGGACAACTGTCCGAATATCACGGTTCACGAGATACAGCCTGGTGACAGACAGACGGACGAGTTGGATCCCATTTTTCAAATCTTTGGTTATGGAACTCTAAAAAGCGATAGCACGATATTTTTAGAAGTTTTCTCTAACTACAAATTGAATTTGCGATAGTAATTTATTATTTATTTTTTTCTGAATCGAAGTCAACGGTAGTTTTGGTGACCCATGGTCTTAAAAAAACAACGTGTAACTTAACAAAAAATACGCTCTTTGATTGAACCTTTTATTATAATATTTGACAGAAATGTTTCGTTCTTTGACCGGACATGTACCAAGTGACAATTATTTAACTATTTCCTTTTTTTTACTTTTAATTATTTTCGAACGACACTTTTCACAAACAGAAACATAATGTGAGATAAAAATAACGAAACAAAATAAACCATTAGCATTCATAAAGGTTTCCTCATGTCGTAGCGTCACGTAGTCCGTAGCAAACTCGTAGTACATACTCCGTGTATAATAAGGTTTAAGTGATGCATGCGTACAAATTGTGCATTCACGGTGAAAAATGTTATGGATCATTTTTAAATATTGCATTAAAATAATAGTAGTTTATTTAATATCGTTTAGACCAGTGATTCCCTAAGTGGTTCAGGTTCAACGGAGGTCAACGTTGGCGTGAAATAAAAAAGGGTGCCAATTTCCATCGTTAGATCTTCACATTTTGGACGAATTTTTGGAATATGGTAAAAATGTAGCAGCAGGGGGTCCACAGAAACCAGAAATTTTTTAAAATGGTCTACGAGAAAAAATTGGTGGGGAACCTCTGGTTTAGACTGTAAAAGTTTTCTATTTCGTTAATCATTATTATTATACCATAACCTTCATATATAATAAATTAAATTATGACCTTGGCTGTGAAGTTCTACTTTAAGGGTTCATCCATAAATTACTTCACAGGTTAAGAGGAAGAGAGGGAATCGACGAAGTGTGACATTGTTTGACAAGGTTGTGACAATTCCATAACGTCACATTTCAAAATCTATTATAATCTAAGTATTAATACAGGAACTTTAAACTATTACATTACGAAAACCTCAAAAACATATACAACTATTATAGTCAATCGTTTTTCGTTTTGTTGTTTGATTTGATGTCAATATTATTAAAAAAAATATTAAATAGAAATACAACTGATTTCGGAATTGCTGTTTTTATTCAATAATTTCTAAATGTAAATTTGCAAAATATGTGATGTGATACTAGGGAGGCGGGAATCTCACAAATGACCAGCAGTGATAAGGACTGATCAAATCCTGAAAACACTTCTTTTATGTAAATATGAAACAACGAAGATCAAAACAACGAGACACGAGACAAAATAAAAAGTCCATTTTCTATGTTGACACTATCATGACCTTTAACTAGCGGTTTCGCTCACGTGGTTTTCACGATCACGATCACTTGAAATATATTTTTAGTTTTTACGTGAAAGAGTAAAAAACATCAAAAATTTATTTATCATATTTTCTGTCTCCTAGAATAATTCTTATCCTACTCTTTTACTATACAAAAATTTACATAATTAGTATACCGTTTGACATATATTATCATTATTAGTATTTTATTTGAAAATTTAATTATCATTTATTTTCTGCTATTATTTTTGACATTTATTATTAATATATTATTTAACGAAAAATACATACAATAGATATTTAACATAGGTAACGTAATCATGAATTGACATCTTTTTCATTCTATTGTGATGTTAATTGAGTTAATTAATGTGTTATAAAAATATAAATATCAATTGTATAGATATTGTTATTCCTTGACAAGGTTCTTGTTATGTTTCCAATTAATTATAAAGAATATCTTGTATTAACACATAGTTGCAATGAAGTTATATATTGTAGCCAAGGGTTTGACCGTGAACTTTATTTTCTTTTCTTAATTTACTGTTTTGCTATATTATAACTATTAAATTGTAAACATTATTATTTTATAACCTGTCTCGTTAAACTATCGTAGAGTTTTGAAACCTGTCTCGTTAGATTATAAACTATCGCAGAGTTAGCAATACAATAACTCTAGATATAATATGATTGTGAAAATCTCGTTAATCTTATAAACTAACAGTACTTACTATTTTACAACGAAGATACTTTAACAGCGAGCGGTTTCTCATAATATTGATCGTGACATTTACAAGCTCTTACTTATCTATCATTATAATTGCTACTTTATTTGTATCTCAGACACTAGTATACGATACTGTATTATACATACTATGAATACAATTTATGAACTGCATAATATTCATGCGATAATTTATAATTTTTTGATTTATTATTATTATTTTAATTAAATAATTAATAGTACATCACAGCGTACCAGGGAAAAAGTGTTTTATTAAATATTTTTCATGAAGAATTTTTTCTAGTCATTGAGAATGCAAAATTGATTAAATGTAATAATACTTACAGTTGGGTCATTCTCATAGGCCACATTTGACATCTCTCAGTCTCAACTAGAAAGAAACCTTGTAATGTATTATATTTTTTTTTCAAAGTAATGGCAATATAAAATTGCAAAATTCTTTGTAATAAAATATATTTATTGATATAATATAAAACTAAGCAATTTTACGTTATACTTTGAGCAATAAACCTTTCTAAATGTAATAAATCCATTTCATTCTAAACAAACTAAACGCCGCTACAATGTTTTGTCTGTGGACCCGTTGTTTTTTTTTAAAGAGTAGAGACATATTCAAAAAATCGAAAAGACTGTTTGTACCACTCGGAATTTGATTTGATAATTATTTATGAAAATATAAAAAAATAACCACATTGGGATTCTAATCACTAGAATATTTTTTAATAAGGTAACGTTTTAATTATAAATAATTTTATCTTACAAAAGTGATTTGATCTCAAAGCATATATTTGCAAAATCTTTTAAATACGAAAACATTGACAAAAAAAAAGAAATGCAACCGTTGCGTTTCTACTCATTTACACCATCGAAATCTATAATAAATTCGTATGCAGTTGGACTTGTTAATGGTGTTCAAAGTACCATAAGTGGACGCTAAACAAAATACACTAACTTTCAATTGGCTTTGTAATTATTCTATAACATCCAAAACCTGAATTTATACAATTTTATCTATACAACCAAATAACGAAGGTACCTCTAAAATACTTAGATTAATCCGTTTCCTCTTGTAATAATATTGGAAATTGATAAACACGTTAATCACTTTTTAACCGATGGAATCATGTAGCAGTAAAAATAGTCGTAAGTTTGCGAGTAATTCCTCGGTTTTAGACTGTATCCTCATCTATTTGCCATGGGCAATGAGGTACAAAGATGGTTTAGATTAATTCTTACTCTTTAAGTTTTTGCAATACGCTTAGTAATAACTAAGTTGTGCGTTATTAATTTATTATCTGTGATTTTCTTATGTTGTTATTTTTATAATGCCGACACAATATATAATTTAATAATCAATCTCTTGAAGTGATATATTGATGATAATCATAAAATTACATTATTTTTTCACGCTAATTTCATTTGATTTACATTTCTTTGAAAACCATCAGAAATAGAATTATATAAAATATTTAAATATAGATAATTAAAGTACGAAACTTATTAACAACATACGCTAATAAAGAAAAGGCGTAAAATAGGTACAAATTAAAAATTATTATATATGTATATAAATATACAACATGATAAACATTATATACACTACGTAACTAGTATATCAAATTCTCGTGTCAGTTTTAATTACCATACTCCTTAAGTGAATTCAGTAGGTCTGAGAATAGGTTGTTTGTTAACTTTTTATTTACCCCTGATTGATAAGGGTGGTCCACTGACACTTATTTGACAAATCAACGTTTGCCGGGTGAGCTAGTATACATAAAGGACTTGAAAGGCGAGTCGACTAAACCTTTCATGAAACTGCTCGATTTGTAGCGCTACGCAACTTAGTTTTGAACGAACGAAAAAGCCATCGCATTTCATTCATTCTTTCTAATATTATTATATGTATATTTTGGATTAATAACTTAGCGACTCATTTATCAATCAAAACTAAATCATAAGTAGGTATATAACTCTATATTGGTGATATAATTACGACAATGACCAGCGGACGAAATGTAGAATGCTATTCAAGCTACATTTAGGACAACTTAGATACTTTAGAAACTATCTAATATCTATGATATGTACGAGTATCTAAGATTTAGATCGATATTAGGGATATATCATTATACAGCTTTTAAGTGTTAAATGCCACTTCATTAACTTATTAGTGGTAAAAGATTATCTATTTTCACTGAGTGGATGTTATATTTACAAAGTTTTTCTATGAAAATCCTATAGAAAACGCAAAATTCTAGTCTGTTGTATGGAAACCTCCTTTAAATATTTATATTATTCAGTTATTTATATTATACAGTTGTAATAGCGATAACAGCCACAGATCATCCGTAAAAATTGCAACTATATAGCTAGGTACCACTGCTCATGAGACGAGGGACAACAATTGGGTACAGTCTTTACTCTTTGGTTGAAACCCTAAAAAATAAATCAAAACGGCATGTGAATAGCGCGCCTAGTGTATTTCCACACGACGCACTTCCGCCGTGAGTTAAATATTTTTCAGCGCTCCAGAGTGACCCAGAATCTTGGCCTTGGTGCATACCGCATCAAGGTGATGCTTTACGTACAATTTTACGACTACAAGGTGAATACACAACGACTACGGACAATTTAAAATAACTGTATTCCCTCATTTTTATTGTTAGACAACTTTAGATACTCAATATACTTTTATACACATACATTGCATACATAAATCTACATATTTTTCTTTGAACTGTAGTAGTGGCAAATCAAGTCGTAAGTTAATTTTCTATCGTAACTCAAAAGTAAGTTTGGATACCTAGCGGCGACTTTAAAAAATCTACGAGACACACTAGGTTTGGATATAATTTATTGAATGAATTATTGATTTACAATTGACACATATCAAAAAGAACAAAATATAAAAAAATACAAATTCAAAGGGATACAAAATATATTAAAACTATTCATATAAGCCGATGGCCAGTGTCTGTCGTCTGCATCTATATTTCGGAATAAAAAATGTCGTCAAAGTTGTTTATAGTTTATTGATTATCAGAAAATTTTGGCGGCTTGTTAAATATTTTTCAATTCACATTTCGTTAAAAGCTACTTTTTTATATACCTACTAAAATGCCGATAAGTCACTTGAGTAATTTGTGATACACAGATTGGCTGCATGTCAAGTTGAAAGGCAAAATTTACAAATTGGTAATAATAGCCGAGAAAAGGATCAGCTTTGCAATATGTAATGTGATAAAATCATTATCGGACGCGAACGTCGAATCGGCAAATCATTATAACTTTATTAGAGATTTTACTTAATTGAACTTCTACAATGTGACGGCGTTGTTCTCAACGATCACTTAGTCGCTGAATTCTTCACTGAATGTTGGGACAATAAAAATAAATTAAATGAATACTACAAACATCTCATTAGAGATGACAATGTCTATACTCATTTTAAGAGAAGAGGACGTTTGAAAGTGGCACCAACAGAAAATTGAAACATTATGAGAAGGTATGAAATTAATAATGATGGGGATAAAAGACAAAGAGCAAAGGTAAATCCACAAGAAATTGATAGACAGACAGCTAGTTGCACATACGTTCATTAAAATTGACATTAATTTAATGCCACATTAGCCACACAAATTTTCAAATTTAAAATAGAATAGAATATACTTTATTGTACACACACATAACACTTACAATTTCAATTGTAGAAAGGAGACGTACAAATGGGGGTCTTATCACTAAAAGTGATCTCTTTTAGGCAACCTTGGGATGGAGTTAAATCATAAATGAGCTAATAATAATGGGGTAGTAGATGGTGTACATATATAGGTATACTGTGTAGGAAGAAAAACAATATAAGTAGATATACCTACTTCGCACATATACATACATACTACACGTACTCTTATACATACATATGAACTACTAGCTTACATGGACTAATAATGTTGTTTAACGAGTTCCTTAAAGATATTAATGGACTTAGCTTTCCAAATCGATACAGGTAATGCATTCCACAAGCGCACGGCTTGGACTGTAAAAGACTTACCGTAGAAGATTGTACGAGTACAATGCATCGGCATATCCAATTGCAATTTTTTTGATGATCTCAAGAGGCGAGAGGGGATTGAAAAGTATGCTAAATAACATTGTTAGAATTTAGAACATACATTAGAGCTTAAGTCGACATTAAACTTTAAGGGACGTTTGTGCTGACCGTGACTGATGTGAAGAGTGAAAGGGAGTGAACGATGTGGTGACGGCTAACAGAATAATGGAAGTAGAGAACACACTGTGCCGACAACAAACAAATTGTACCTACAAAGTAACTACATTAGCTTCGATTTTATTGACATTGGATTCAATCAGAATGCACTCGATTAATACTGTATATATTGTTAGATACAGTTAATTTTAATTACATGAAGTTGAATCAAATGCACCGTTCAATACAGAACTGCATGTTGAAAGCGTTTTGTTTGAATACGATGGGAAATTTAATATATCAAATATATGATAATGCGTACCGGAAAGTGATACACATTTTTTGTAATCCTTTAAGTGGAAAGGGCGCCGCAGTCACTTTTAACATTCTGCTGCTGCAGCATTTAAGCAGCTTCAATATTTCAGCAGCTTCAGACAGCTACAGAATGCACATTAACAGTGGTAGTCGATCTGCACTTGTATGTGTCCATTCTCCTTGTAATTAGGTAGGGAAGGATCTAAGGAGCAAGATAGCGATCGCCGCATTCTCTAGCCATGACTCTTGGCATAGGATACGACACCTCAACGATATTTTGTTTCATGTTACTACTTTGACATGTACTTTGTAACGACGATCGAATGATAAAGAAGAATGATTATGGGTTTTACAGCATTGTTACCAACTTAGCTGTTTATCCATCAAAAGACACTTGCAAGTATTTAAATAGAACGAAATCTACCATAATATCGCTGTGATGTCGTATCTTATGGCTTGAGAGTTAGACAGTCGCATTCCAAGTCATAGAGGGTTAGGTAGGACAACCACATTTTGGTATGGAATAGTCCTTGCCGGATCCCACAGCCTTCCCCCGAAAGTAAGGTTGCATTGGTGGTTTGGTGGGTATGCTATCCGCGTTTTGACTAGCTCTTCGGGCGGGTCCGCGTGAGTGGAGAATCCCACTCATCCCTGTCGGCTATCAAGCGGCAGTTACATTGCTGTCCCCCTATAACACGAGTCGTAAGTAATTATTTGAGAAAACGGCATAACTTAAACAGACATTTTTATATTTTTACCAAATAAACAAGAATGAATTAAGAACTATTAATAGTTACTATTATTATTAGCTATTAACAGTTCTTACCTCATCATAATTCTCGTCTATTAAATAAAAAACATGTACTTAAACAATTGCTTAGACTCAAATAATGACTTCTACTCGACTATAGATATGAGTGGAAGCCAATGCTTTCTTTCTTATAATTTTTATCGCGGTTTAAATATCTATTTATTTGTAGAAGGATATGTCGTATTTTTTCATTAATAAATACTTTTTGTGATTTATATATCAGATTTTCCTCTTTTAGTTGATTATAACGCTTTTCACGTTATTAAAGTACCAAATTTTTTTGTAATATTTTTTAATCAAATTTTCAGTGTAAGCAGCTATATATATTATACCTTTATTTCATTAGAAATATGTCCTGTAACATGTTTAAAGAAGAAATGTATTAATGGATTACAATTTACATTCACATTTTAAAGGCACATTTTTATAATGTCGTCACTATCCTATCGTTTTTCACAAGATGGCGACGCAACGACAAATCCCTGTATTTCTATTTACGTATCTAGCATTGCCAACGCGTGAGCACCTCTGGTGTACTTCACCCGACATGCTATGAAGCTAATAAAACTATTAAAGACAACACTGATATATTTAAGTAATAATGTAGGTTAGTGGTTCATACGAAAACATTATCTAAGGTTATCGCCAAAAATAGCTTCCATACGCGAGCTTTTTACATAATTTCAGCGCAAGTTACGCCGAAAATAGCGATCGGTATGGTGACGCAAAGCGCAAACGCACGGCTCGCGTAGATCGGTCGCGATACTCACCTCTCGCTGCCACCGCGAGCGCCGACACGGCGAACAATATGCACAACATAAACCTCCATAACTTTAATCTTTTGGTCCACATTTTTTGTCAAGTTCAACCCGTGTTAACGGGCTATCAGTCATTTGCACTCACACTCGCGCACCCGGTCGATCGACCTAATGATTTTAACACTACACTGAATACGATATTTTTTATAAATTAAAAACGCGATCCGCACCCCATTAGGAATGCAAATCGAGTTGTCATTAAATCGCGGTTTATTAAGAGCGTTTAAAATGAATTAAAGAATTTTTTTTTTGAGCTCGGAAATAAATCGCGATTTAATGGCGTTACGGTCTGGGAGTATGGGTAGTTGCGACACTGGCCGTACTCTATTTCCGGAGACAGCACGGCATCGCTGGTCGGAGGGGTACTGACTACAGCAGCCGTAGGAGCAACCGGCGAATTTCACTCTGCATCGTGTGCCAGCTCTCGTGGTAAAGACGGGTTTAGATGACAGCGATTTGTGGAGCGGGCGTTGGTATTAGAATATAGAGGTAGACAGTGTCCATCTTACCAAGAACAAGATTGTGTACTAAGGCTGAATTGGAGCATGTTTCTTATGTTAATCTAACTCTTACCACTATAGGTCTAAATTAGTAAGACCGCGTTCTTACGTCAGTCGCAACAACATCTTTTATGTTGTTGTCAATAGAGCTAGACCTTACGGAATAGTATGCGCATACATATCAGAGTATTCGCTGGTATTTGCCAGATAGTTGATTCTAATATATGTATTTTTGTTTGCGTCCGACTGTATATTTATGTATCAGATGCTGATACATAAATATACAGTGACTGAGGTTTTAAATTGTAAAACACTACTAGTTCTAGTATCTAACTGTGTAGACAGTTAATTCGATTTTTGTTGTTATACACGTTTTATTTTAATATTGTTTAGTATGTCTTCCGACAGATAATAGGGGTAGACAGTATTATCTACAATAGCTACAAGTGCGTTCTCTTTGTCAGACTTAGAAAAAGATTGCACGCGATTAAGAACCGCGGTGACGCTGATCGCGATGCTTTGAACCTTACCGCTACCGCTTCGGCTTCCGCTGTCATTGACATCGATGTCTAAAGCTCTATTCAGTTAGTTACTGTCGTCATTACACTATGAAGGCCAATACAAGCAACTCCAACAAGACTTAGTGCGGGATAAACTACCTTGGTAGTGAATAACTTCTCTTGCATATTGCTTTTCGGCGTCATTTACCCGCATAGTATTCACTATAATTGAAATCATAATCGACAAACACAATGCAAATCTATGACCAGATAATGTCAATGTTCTTATTGATAGAAAGTACCTACAAATCACTGATACATACAATAATGTGTAAGTATAAGCAATTTTGGACACAAGATACTACCTTGTGGTACACCGTATTGATTAATCGTAAAATATGATGGAAACGATACTAATTCACCATGTTAATAAGTTTAATAAGCAATACGTGATTGTATGTAGTTATGTAAAACAAGCATTTAACTATGTCCATGTCATTTTCTTGTTGCGCACCCACTACGCTATAGGATCTCTTACAGTCTATACTATATTAATATAAAGAGGAAATATTTTATTGTTTGTTTCCATCGAATTCACTCCAAAACTTCTAGATCGATTTAAAAAATTCTTTCACCTACGGGATCATAAAATTTACGCAATCATAGTCGCGAGAGAAAATAGCTAGTTCATTATATAGTGTAAAAATTTATCTATGGTACGCCTAAGGCAACACCGGTTGGCGATAATCGAAACTACTTTTTCCATTTCTATACTGTTAACTGCGAGCTCTTTCAGAGCTGAAGCGCATTTCTCTATCAAAGGAAGTTCCAGACTCATACCATACTGCATGTGTGTTACGATCAGCAGTTACACGTGTTAAGCCATCTTCAGAAGTCTCCTAAGAACAAACGCTTGCTGTATGAGTTCTCCTAGAGCACTAGAGCATGAGACTTGCAATCGGCAGTCAATGACGCTTGGTGTTGTTCAACTTCCGTCAGGCGCTTAACTGAACTTTAGATTTACTCTCATTAACATTAGCCCTTTTACGTCTCCACTGCAGGAGCTCAGCCCTTCTTTACGGATGGTTAAGGAGGATGGGACATGACCGTCCAAGCTGGGCCAATGTGGATTAGAGGGTATTAACGACTCCAAATGTAACCGGGCCCACTGGCTTAACGTGCCTTCCGAAGTACGGGGTAGCACGAGATAATAATTTTTTGGCCACCTCTCCTTGCTTGACAACAACAACAGGGCGCCCGCCTGGCACTTATCCACTACGCCACCGAATTACCCTAAACCTACCCCCAGACTCACGTAATATCGCATGAGTATCGTGACCTATGAATAAACCATTGTCTCCAGTGGAGACTGAAAATACCAGCTTTGAAGTACCTAAAGCAATTTGTATGTTAAATAAAAACAGAGTAACATAAGAAAGAGTAATAAAAGGAAAGAAAATTGATTTAACTCGAGTTGTCTTTACATTTTTCACTTCATTTGACGTGAACCTAACTTTTTTTTAACGTTAAGGCAATGCTTTTGGCACTGTACCTGTTATCTGGCAAGCAACAGGGGGTTAGCAGTCTCGCCTTCGCGGACTCACCCGTCAGTGAGTTGCCTAGTGGATGCTCGGAGGCCTACACTCCAAAACCTCTTCGGTGCACCCTCTCGGGAAGCCAGCCGTGGCCTAGTCACCAGGATACTCAAGTATTAGACCATTGGTCTCCTCGCATCGAGAGCCTCTCCCGGACAGATGAGACCGACTAATAGAGCTGATTATGACGATCATCAAAGACGAAAATTTAATAAAACAGTTAATATTTCATAGCAATTTTGGTGAACACGTAGTGTGTTTATTTAAATTTTATTGATATAACTTTTGTATTTGTGAAGCGATTGAAATAAATCTTGCACTAAATGTTAACATAAGATTACCACAATACAACAGTGAAAACTGCATTTAATTCGCTTCCGAGATTAACTTGCACAAACGCAGACAAACAGACAGATTTTTTTTAAAATTATTGCATTGTGTTCTATAACGTTAATAAATGCCCCTCATAATAGTTTTTTTCATATATCTTCAATGTACAGACATCGATCAGTTAAGTTTTTATTTTGATATAGATATTTATTTAACTACTAGTTAAAACGTTTTGGCATGCAGTATGTATGTAGTGCAGTGCAAATCCACATTGATTAATTCACTTATAGGTATATAACGGCAACTGTTGGCCGACGCCGCCGAGGCGCTTCGCCATTTGCTTCGATATTTCAACTGTCGTGTAGAATATTACAGTGCACCCAAAACGTTTATTTAGAACTCGGTGCACCGATGTGTACCACCGCCTCAATGTTGGTTACGTAAATAGTTTACATTCAGTCTATTTTAAGAATCAAAAGTGCGAGGCTCTCAACGGCGCAGTGGTTAGCGTGTTCATGCGATTATGGGATTAAGCAACATTCGTGTAAGAAAATCGGCGAAATGTCAATAAAGTAATGATTTATTCATGACCGGCAGTGTCCGGCTTAAAAAGATATTTACAAAATAAATTACGTTCTAAAAACAATATCTTTATATTGACATCTGTTAGGACTGTGCACAACGGTGTTTCCATAATATCCATGATATGCTTGATCTATAGACCTATAATCTACTTTGGGATTGGGCTGTCCAAATGCCCTCCACTTGTTGTTTATCTGTAAATAGAATAATGAAAGCTGACAATCTACGCACAGCAGAACCCACATAGGACAGGGATATGACGCATGAAACTTTTTACGTCCATTAATTAAGCGTTCAAATAATACCCATTTATTAATAGTAAAAAGGACACAAAAGTTTAATGAAATTATGGAGCTACTGTTGTTTTTTTTAAATAATCCAAGTTCGCGGAATTTGACGTGTTTTATCCTAAGGTCCCACTTCAAGTTGATTACTATATTTATTTTTAATAAAACTATTGTTGAAAATCGCGCTTCACATTTTAAGTTATTGCTTGTTGAGCTAACTTAATTTAAACATGGCAAGAACGCCTTGATGTGGACCCGATACTGGGTCGCGACCCGGCAAACGGGAAACACTAGTCTAGTCTTCACGTTTTCGATAAGGATTAACCTTACTAAAGGCCCTAGTTGACATTTTTTTATTTACTTTATAAATAAATAGTTCAATAATATCTTAAATATAATGTAAAGTAACAGCACCTCTGCGATTAACAGTTCTGAAGATACGGTGCCATGTTTTAACTGTTGTTAGTAGACCGAAAATGCTACCTACAAACTTAAGCAGTGACGTCACCTAGTGATACTGTACCGAAAAACGTTTTGACGTCTGGGCAATATTTTCCAAATTAGTGCCTTAAAAATTTTGTTAAATATGAGTAGCTAAGTTAAAATGATTTATATTTCCCGAACATATAACTGAAACCTGTATTTTCGTTTGTAGGACACTATCCTATTCTCGAGATCCCCTTTACTTACTTTAATGACCGAACGGTGAGAGGGGTTTCAACGAATTAAAGGACATTGCTCAACGTCCATACATTGATGGCCCCAGAGCCAAAAAAATATAGGAAAATACTTATTTTATTGTGTGTCACTAACTAATTCTCATTATGTATTTATTATACCGCGACCGAGTTTTAGAACTTATTATCACGCAAAATATAATTCATTTTGAGGTTATAATTTGTTTGGAAAACCACCAAGAGTTGGCACTCTAAGTACATGATATGATATTGATGTCTATATTGTCGAAGTAAAAAAAGTCAACTTTAAGAAAGTCGGTTTTTTGTTGTGAAATAAATCATTCTAATAGTTAAATAATATACCTATTGATAAGCTTAAAATTAAAAAACCTATAGCTTTTTGATGGTTTACATCAAAAAATGGCGCCTTAAATACATAAATGACATGATGTTAATATGTTTACGAGAAATATAAAGGTAATGTAATAAAAACAAAGTAGTTTTTAGGTTATGTCGTATGAATATCAATCTTTCTGAATAAACAAGAGTGAATTATCAACAGTTAAAATGAATTTAGTTTGTATAATATTCAGTTTTTATGTCCTTATGTTTTAGTTGGAAAATCACCAAGAGATGGCGCTTTTAGTAAATTTAAGTTTATTTTCGGTCAATTTATTTAATTTGTGTTTGTGTTCGATAATTTAAAGGTTATCTATTAAAAATAAATGATCTTCTTGATCTGACGTGTAAATTACATCCATCTGACTCGATAGAATTAAAGTACCTATATTGAATGTGAATATTTGCGAATAAAAATGTCACTGTTAAAGTACTTTTAAATATTAATTTTGGATCGCAGCTTGTCCGTGTCAAATAAATATTTGATTCCAATTTAATAAATAAATTAGTAATTATTATTGAAGTATTAATATTTAATGGAATTGGGGCCATTTTCGGCGATGTCCTTTGTGTGTGACATAATCTAAAACTTGAATATATTCAAATGCAATAAAATAGACGAGATACTAATTTTGGTAACCTTAGATTTTTTTCTGTAGTATCTTCAGAATTTTTTATTTGAGCATACGGAGGCCCCTGGTTGATGCAGGCCTCCTTTAAACTGTAGACGGGCTAGAATAAATGTACCTAAAATTGTGAAGACAACGTAACGTAATGTTTAAATTCTCTTTAACACGCACTACTGCCAATCAAACTTAAGTAACTTACTTAAATAGATAGTTCTGAAACCTAATTATAGGTACTACGTGATTTTCTTCTTAGAAACTCTCGGAAGAAAGGGAGACGTGCATCAGCGTGCTACTCGACCAATAGTTTAGTGACGTTGCAACGGACTTTACCCTCAAGAAGTTTACGGCCAATGATAGAAGCTTATAGACTGTATTGTGAAGCAGAGGTGGCCAGCCTTCATAATGATAGGTATCGTGTGTAGGTTTCGGTAAACAGTCGATATAATAACATAGCCGTATAACGACAGCAGCCCCTAGGCTTGTCGTCTCATAACCTTATGAGACAGAAGAGCTAAAACCAATTTACAAAAGTTCGTACTTGTAGAGCTACTGAAAAATTTCATTTCAATATCATTCATATTATATATGGGAATTAGTTTGAATATTAATTTTTCATTTATAGTCAGTTTAATAGGTTTCGATAAAGAAATGACCCCTGGCTTAGGTCCTTGTCCACAAGGGACGAATCAGCTCAAAAGTATGAAAATATAGCTATATGTACATTTTCATTCATAAAAAAAGACAAAATAATAAAATCAGAACACTATAACTATGTATTTTAACAAAAATATTTCAAAAGTATGTAGAAAAAAAAATAACTTTAATTATTTGGTATCTATAATATCACATAATTATAAACTGTTAAGTCAGAGAAAATAACACATATAGGAAATCTCTTTAAAATAAAAAATATGTAGTACTATTAAATATATATTTACTTAACTGGTAATGTCTTAATTAAGTTTAGACTTCATGCATTACATTAATATATCATACCACATCATAACAAACTTATAGGTAACATTTATTTACCTCTTTGATTTTCTTTAATCATTGCGTCGCAAAATTCAAGATTTACAAATGACAACACACAAAATACATTTAATTCCAAGCAGCTGTATTACTTATCTCATGAAAATTAAATTATTTATTCTTTGTATATATACAGTAGCATTTCAGGTGCCCATGTAGCATGACATACTAGAGAAACTGGTCAAGAGTGACATAAGGTCATACAATAATCTTTCTTGAGTCTCTAAGTTCCTCAAGCTATGTGGCTAGGATCTCATTTTTTGTGTAGACTTTTGTGAGTAGAAATTATGCTTTTGACAAAAATTTAATTTTAATAAACTTCTACAATTCTTTTTTTTTAAATAGAAATATTAGAGTTATAGACCATAGTTGTTAAGAAAATGAAATAAAAGTAAATCTTAGATAATTATCATTCAGGTTCAAAATGGATTCATTGTAAGAACTTAATTGACAAACAGCTAAAGCTCCGCCATTTTTATCAGATAAATAATTCCCTCTTTTGGAAACACAGTACCAATTTCACCTTGGCAAATAATATCGTTAACAATTTTAATCATTCAGATTTCATTATAAATGAACTGAATTCAGTTGACATAGTTCTAATGATCAATTATAATAAGTTCATCAATACTCCAGTCTTCATATGAATGATCAGGCAGGTATCTTCTGATAATGATAGGTATCTTACGTTGTTTCAGTTCTTTCATGGCTATTTGTAGAGGATCTGTTTCACCTTCTAGCTCGACCATTACTGGGGCGCACATTGCTATTTGCAGTGCTCTTGTTCCTAAAAAGAAAGTAAATACTTAATATAGTAAATATCTATTATTTATAGTAATTAATGAATGTATTATGTTGTGTACCCATGCTGCAGAGGGTAGTTTTGTTAAATTTCAATTATGCATGTTTTGGTATATATTCTCGACTTTATATTCAAGGTAAATTTAGTTAAAGTTCATTTCTGTAAAGAAAACAATGAAGTATCTATATATATGTATGGTCTACATTCAAAACCAGCTAGTCTTTTATTGTAAAATATCGAACTTTTGTATTCTCTATTATTGTTATTTTATTATTGAACTAAGTTTGCAATGAACACAAAAGTTGTGTGTCAGTTAAAACAGTAATTAGTGAGATTTGATTAAAAATACTGATTCTGTTTCCATATAAAAAAGTTTTATTGTGTTTTAAAAGTAAACCCCTCCTATATGTTTTATATTACCACTGCTATAAATATTTTCTATCAATGATACTAAAAAGAAAAATACTGTTCACTGATAAAATGTTTTCCTGTAATCCTACAATGATATTAATATACTATTAAACTTATTTAGTCTTATGCAATGATTATAGAATAATTTATAAAAGTTATGGATTCACAATTATACAGGTCAATCCTGAAGTAGTAACTGAAGCAATTGTTTTATAGAAATCTAAAACACAATGGTAGCACAATATTCCGACCCAAGACATTATAAAAAATATTCTTTATTTATATTCCATATTATTACTCGGATACAGAAGTCGTCGTTACTCGGAACTATCTAGATAGATAGAATCCGAGTAAACCAAATAAAAATTCAAAACATCTAACCTAGAACTCTGGCGCGTTCGTATTTCGTCATGTATCGAGTAGTGATACGCTTAGATTTCTCCACTCCGCCGCCTGCCTGGCCAGGCGCAAGGCATTGCACGTTGTATCCATCTTCTTCCTGTTCTTCGGTTTCTTCAATATTATCATCTTCTTCGGCAATATCGTCATAATCAGCACCAGCATCCTCTGCTTCGTATTCTTCGTCAGCCATTTCCTGGAGATGTTAGACGCTTATCACTTTATAAACATATGCAGAGTAAGAAAACACGTTGCTTGAAGTTCTATTTGTTTAAATATTAACTTTAACTCCAAGATACAAACAGAATAATAATATGTAACTTAGACGATAAACATGTGGAAATTATTTTATACTAGGATTGGGCAAAAACTAACAAAATATCGTTTTTATTTATGAAAAAAATCGATATAAATCGGCGATATTATTTCTCGCGATATATCGGCATTAGACATTTATTTCCAGATATATTTTTTAAAGTTCTGCTGTCAGCTCATACGTCGCATCACGTTTTACTTAAATTTAAAAAAAGTAGGTAGGCAGTAGGCTGTTTGAGTTTAGAAATTACTTGCTTGTCTTTTTTGTTTCTTTATGACAATGACACTGCTTTTTGGTTTGGTTGGTATCACAGAGTGCTCCTGATGTTATTATCAGACAAATACTGATTTGTTTGAATTCTGTAATTTTTGTTGTGTTGATGATTTGAAATATAAACAACCAGGTGTTTATTTATATTTTGTCTATTTTTATAGATAATCGCTTATTGCGCAGAATATATCGATATATTTTTGACAATATTTAAAGATCAATTTGATAAATATCGATATTTTTTCCCTTTTGCCCATCCCTATTTTACCCTTGAACATGTCTAGGGATGTAACGATACGAGTAAATACAATTACTTACCTTGGAACTTTTCTTTGGATATCAAGTATTTTGTAATCGATACTTTATCACGGAATGCTTCTCTTTCTTCCGTAAACAGAGTATTGCTACTGGCTATTAATAGTATCAAATCTGCTTTAAAAATCAATAAAGATGACGAGGGTGAGGCATTTAAAACTATTTGATAAAATTATCCATCGATACTTTAAATTCGACATCAAGTAGAAATAAATACCTAGGTGGTATTGAATGTATAGGAAAACCGACATATATCGATTTTTTTGGGCGTACTTAAAATCGAACCATTCTGAAAATATAAATATTATGTTGACGCATTACAAGACTGAAGCAGAGACTGATCGAATGCCAAGAAGGGACTTTTACAACCTCAATAATTAAGAATAATATATAAGTCTAATAAATCGCGCTTCATTCAATCTCAAAGGTTATAAAAGAAACCTGGAGGAACTGCCATACAATTATCATATAAACAGTACATAAAGGATTACGAATATGAGTTTGCAAGTTTAGAGAAAAGAAGAGTTATGTTAAGTTTTTTAGAGAAAAGTTATGAAATTATTTTAATAATATTTTAGAAATCATTCATAAATATTTCAGTAGTAAAATATTTTCTCTATCTATTTTAATTATTGAAATATTTATGTATATGTATTCTTTTCTATTTATACTTTCTATATTTATATGACGTCATGCGGGTGAATTTAAATAAGGTTCCAGTACATTAGCGATTTTCGGGACTTACAGCCAGTTGCACAAACGTCGATTAAAACTGACATTAGTTTTAAGAGACATTTTGCTAGCTGTACAAACATTCGTTTAAGCAGGTATGGGCAACCTTAGACATGTTGTGGGCCAAACTTTAGTGTGCAAATACGGTCGCGGGCTGCGTTTAAAAGTAGTAAATTTTAAAGTAGAGTAGTTGTGCTCATATTTTTTGCGATAGATATCAGACATGAAATATTATCGCTCATTTGCGACAAGAACGTGTTAACGCAAATATGTATCGTTATTGAATAATAATACAGTAGAATTCGGCGTATCGCGCTCTACTTGCTGCTAAAACGCGATATTTCTAGCGCCGAAAATGACCGAGTAATGAAGGAAAAGGATGGTGACTATCGGTTTAGCGCTATCTCTTTCCGCTCCTTAGTTCAATGCAAGATCGGTTCATGTCAGTTGTCGCCGCTCGCTTGAAGAGGAAAGTGGTGCCTGATGGCATCAAAAATGTAACAGCTCTTGAAAGGTTTTGTTGAAAAGGGAAATACAAATTTTTGTTTTTTTTGTGACTTATTTTCGCAGCTATAACGGGACATTTTTATGTGGCTCATTATTGTAGTAAAAATAGTAATCGTATGCTATGGTTTACAGAGGATTGTACCGTTGTTGCTGAAATAAACAATTATTTTTGTTGATTAATTTGAGATGTTCCGTTACAGTTGTTAATAAAAGTACAAAATGTTTGGTACTAATGTTGGTTATCCCAAATAAAACACTTTCTTGATAAAAAATAATACATTTTTACAACGAATAGCTTACAATGTTGCATTATAAATGATAAAAAATTTGAAAATTTATTTACTGATATTCCAGTCTTAATTACACAATATTTGAATTCCTCTTCCACTGTCGCTGAGTCTATTTTAAAGGCATGTTTGCTTATGAATCGACAACAATTTGATTTTACAAGGGGTCGCTCAACAATCGAAGCCGGTGTCGAGTTAATACAAGAAATTTTTAATGCCTGGGAGGATTCACATGATGCGTTAGGTGTTTTCTGTGACCTATCTAAGGCTTGTTTTTCATGAAACATTGATTAGTAAACTTCATTTTTATGGATTTAGAGATAACTCATTGGATTTTATTGTCTCGTACTTGACTGAGAGAGTACAGAGGGTTGCTGGCAAAAGATCCCCTGGGTCGAAAGTTAAGATGTGTGTTCCGCAGGGCTCAATACTTGGTCCTTTCTTGTTTTTGATTTATATAAATAACTTGCCTTACTTCGTAAGGAATGATCACGAAATAGTTTTCTTTGCGGATGACACTTCACTTTTGTTTAAAATTAGAAGAGGGTTACCTCTAAATGACGATTTGAATAATTCTATCGCTAAAGTAGTACATTGGTTTAATGTAAATAATCTTCTTCTTAATGAAGGAAAAACAAAATGCCTAAAATTTGTACTACCTATTGTTAAAAAAGTAGATATAAATGCTAATATAAAAGATAAGAACATGGGCCTTGTGGATACCACGGTAGTTTTAGGAATAACATTAGATTCTAAACTACAGTGGGGCCCATATATTGATAAATTGTCGAGTAGACTTAGCTCTGCAGCATATGCCGTAACGAAAATACGTAGGTTAACTGACATAGATACCGCCAGATTAGTATACTTCAGTTACTTTCATAGTGTAATGTCGTACGGAATCCTACTGTAGGGAAATGCTGCCGACATACAAACAATTTTTGTGCTTCAGAAAAGAGCAATTAGATCAATTTATAATCTTAGGATTAGGGACTCTTTAAGAGAAAAATAAGGAAATAGACATTATGACTGTTGCTTCTCAATACATATACGAGAACTTAAAGTACGTTCGTAAAAATATTATTTTGTCTTCTATAAAAAGTGATGTACACAATTTTAATACAAGAAATAAAAATAAATTAACTGTGCCTGTCACTAGACTGCAAAAAGTTAATAACTCATTCAAGGGTCTTTGTGTGGGCTTCTACAATAAGGTCCCAAGTAAAATACAACAATAAGATTTCATGCAGTTAAAATCTACTATAGAAAAAATACTAATTATAAAGTATCCGATATAACAGATAAGAACGCTTGGCCTTGAGATGATCCAGCAACTGGATAGGTGATTACTTCTAAACTCATTATCTTGTTTTCATTATTATTAAATGATTATGTTATAATTATAAGACCATAGTTTTTTTTCTCTCTCTCTGTTTATAATGTATTGATCTGGTAATGACATGGTTTTTGTAAATGTGATAACTCTTACTAGAGCTGGTGAGTTTTTTGCTCGTTCTTCTTTTCGGCAAAAATACATCCTGAAAGCGTGGTAGAGATGTTGGACGATTCAAAAGTACTTTTAAGAAGTCTATTTGAATAAAGATTATTTTGACTGTGACTTCGATTATTACTTGTATTTCAGCAAAAGTTACACAATAACTTCGCTAAAATATCTTTCATTTTGTAAAACAAAATACAAAAATAAAGAGATTTCTACGACAGTAACATGTCTTAATTAAAATGTTCCATACCTTTATATTACAGATTATCAATAAAAACGTAACAATACGACATAACTTGTAAAGATTTAGATTTTTATCCAATTTTTTTTTCAAGAAAATCTGCAATACTGGATTTTTTTTACAAGAATAACGCAACAAGGAGGACCCTTTCTTAAATAAATAATCATAATAAATTTTATAACTAACTTAAAAGTCTGAATGCAATTTGATTCAAAAACCGAAAACCTTGAAGTTATGTTGTATTGAGCTGAATAGGCTAAACAAAATTATTAAAAAGTTACAGGAATTTCAAACTTTCAAGAGCGTTTTATCACAAATTGAGATTTTAACTTTGTCACGTTCTTGTCGCAAATGAGCGTTATGACAATGTTATTGTAAATTAGGTTTTTCAAAACGTCTCGCGGGCCGCATCCAGCCCGCGGGCCGGTTGTTGCCCACCGTATGTTAAAGTGTCATTACCCATACAAATTTGACATTCATTAGAGTTTAAAAACGTAATTAAACACTAATGATAGTTTGTGCAACTGACCAATAAGCGATACAAAGACATTAATTGGAGCTTGAATGCGTCGTTAAACCTTAATGGACTTTTGTACAACTGACCGTTGTACTTAATAAGTGGGTATTTGTGTAGGTAGTATTAAAACACAACTTTGACTGATTTATCATATATTTTATAAAACTGTTTTTTTTTTTACATAAACCTTTCACAACAACCTTTACTACTCAATTCCCGCTCAAAATCATCTTATCATCCGTCAATGTCAACTTCAAAGGTGACAGTGACAACCCACTGACAGATAGTGCTTCCACTAATACAATCGATAAAAATTGATATTCATGGTATTCGATAAAGAGTATCGTAGTCTAACAGTAGGTTCACATTTGGTCAGTGACATGTATGAAACGGGAATCTAGTATACTTTTTCGTTTAAAGTGCGGTTGAGGCATATCCCTATTTAAGAATTGCAAAAACTTGGCAACACAGTAAATAAATGTAAATTTTTGAGTAAGAATTTTTTGTGCGTGCTGTTGAGATTATAAAACGGACACGAAGAATTTTATTTTTGAAGTATCTGTCCAGGGTGAAAAAGTAGACTGGTAGTTTAAACTTTAAGAAGTAGTCTACTTTTAAATTAAACATTACGTACTTAAGCTTATGGTTCGGTAAAA